TTCACAGAGTTGGAAGATGCTGTTGCAATTTTTCTGATAACCTAGATTGCGCAGAAATGTCTTGTGAACGTCTTAAAGACGTCGAGGAAAAGCCTCAAGGTGTCTAAGAGACGTCTCAGCGACGTCTAATGTTACAAATCAAGATGTCTTTCAAACGTGGCCTACGAAGCACTTTGAGCTGATTTCAGAAACGTCTTAAAGACGTGATTTTTATATGCTGTTAGAACGTACCGATTTTTAGTCTTCGAGACTAAAAATGGACATCTTTAAGACGTCCTTATTGATTATTTCACGTTCACGTTGCGAACATAAGAAGTTTCTCCAATTTTTTTAACACCTTAATATTTACAAGCCTTAATAATCGTATTTCAGCCTACGTGAGTGTTATCGCAATAATAAAATAAGCTAACTTATAGCAATATAATGAAGCACTTGTAGCAGTTGAATTTCCGTTACTTAGAAAATTTACGGTACATTGCACTATTCGAAATGAAATTTCCGTTACTTTCGTCGTATGTCTAGACACAGATGCACTAATGTGTAAATACGAAGAAAAAGTTTAACTACAATACACTCCAAATGCAACGTACCAAACGATTGCTTTTCTTCAATTTTCCCGATGACTTTAGCTGTTTTACGTATATTAATCATAAAATTGAAAGATAATTAATTGTATTCCATTATACAGAGCGAGCCACGTAAGGTTGCTCAATTATCTTCTGCAGCTTACGAGAAAATTTTTAAACATAATTCAAATGGTCTCAGAGGGTGAATAAGATGGAAAAAATTTCCTTCGATGGAAGAAATGGCGAAAAATGGAGAGAAGTTTCACGTTTGATTTAAAATTTCCAAAGTTCAAAAGAGTCCAAGGCCACATTATTTTTATTTTGAGAAAAAGCAGGAAAATGGCATTTATAAAAGAAATTTTGAAACCATTCAAATTACACATAAAAATTTTCTCACATCACCATAGGCTGCAGAGAAGATAATTACATCTTGATAAAAAATCGTGAAAGCCTTAAAAAGAACAAAGCTGTTTCCACACAAGCCTCGTTAACATCTCCAATTTGATTTCTAACGCGAACGACCACGAATTCGGTGCCGGGAGAGTCGCGACGACGATGGTTCTAATAAATAAGCACGGAAACGAATACGGGTTCGTCTCGACAGAGTCGATGGCGAGATAAACAGTGTCTAGTCGAAAACAATCGCGACAGAATGAGGCAATGGGACGCTGTAATTCATCGAGAATCCTCGATGGGTAGCTTTCTTCTCCTTCTTTCGAAACTTTCTCTTCGTGTAAGTTAGCTCGCTCCACAGAAATACAGCTCGGTTATTATATAGTTGGTGAAGATAAAAGTCCGGTTTCAGATGAAATTCACGGTGGCGCTTGGTAGCGAAAGCGAACGAGATAAGGCCCTAACCCTAGGTCAATCGATAAGGATCGCTATAAATTAAGATCCTTAGTACCCGTAGCTTTCGACGTTTATTTCCTCGTGGAGTGCGTTACTCTCTCGTTCGGAACGTTTTCTTCCTTTTTTTCTCGTTTTTTTTTTTTCAGTTTACGAAACTACTATTATCGATCGGTCGAGATAATATCACGATCGAGTGCCTCGTGCCCGACTACTGTTCGTTTCAATTCAATTAACCAATCGACTGAACAATGACCGCGTGTATGTTTCTGACGATGAATTTATACGAAAACTATTGAAACGCTCGTGTCACTTCACCGACGACCTTATTTTCGAGATTAACTTTTACTATCTGCTTTACAATATTATTCAGCATACTTTTGATGAATACGTTGACGTATTAAACTGGGCAATAGATTAGCTCATTAGGTTGGTGCCTTTTTTTTTAATTAAACTTTAGATACAATGTGTTTCTTCGAAGAGCTAATTAACTAACTTTGTTATTCCAAATTTACGAAAATTGAATTTGAATTCAGAAATTCTTTGAATGCTACTTTTACAGAGTCTTCATTTCGGAATGATTCATTTGGAAAACAATTGTTCAGGTGTTTGAAGAAAGTTTGAGTGAGTAGGGGAGGATGTGTCTAAATTTCATATTTTTTATCATTTTTTTTTCTTAAAACGTTATCTACACGCTTTCTTCCACTCACTTCCGCTCATTCAATCTCGAACCAGAAGCCCTCTCTTAAAACGTTATCATCGACAGACCTATCTGAGCTTCCCCTTGGCTCATTCTCCGATGGAAAGTCATCACTCTTGAATTTTGCACACCAACGGTGAAGTGTCTCAACATTTGCATAACTTTCTTCAAACGCTAAGTTTACAATTTCAGCAGTTTTCCATGTTCAAACTAATATAAAAAAATTTAGGAATATTCTGATTATTCGTCGCATTGGATAATAATGTCCAAACAAAACAAAATTCCTTCTTTTTGATTATGGTGTATAGAAATTTAATATACAGTATCGACTATGAAATTTCAGCTATATAACCACCTCCCACATTTCATCAATATTAAATCTGCTGCTAATTTTTTATAGATTTGAAGTTTATCTCAATTCTACCTTTATCAATTCGAATGATAAAAAATTCTCAAAGTCGCTGACTTTTTTCTGGAAATTTTTCTGCAAATTGCAATGCTCGTATAATTTCTTTAATTTTACTTTTTTTCATCTGAAATTTTTTTTAACATGTTGGTGAGATTTTTCTGATGAAAATGATATCAAACACGATATAATTTGAACAACATTTACTTATTAATACTTATTGAGTAATTAATTTAATGTCGGCCTACCTCCACGTAAAAAAAAAAAGAAAACGTAGGGCCGATTCTACAAGTGTCAGTCAAACGGCAGGCCAATTCTCCAACTGGCAGTCAAACGGTAGGCCGACTCTATGTAATGTGTGACAGTGAACGTGTTAATAAGTAATGTTGTTCAAATTATGTCGTGTTTGATGTAGTTTTCATCAGAAAAATCTCATCAATATGTTAAGAAAAATTTCGGGATAAAAAAACGTAAAGTTAAAAAAGTTGGTATTTAAATCGCTTGGTTGCCTCGACTCACGTTTCATTCTTATCTTTTATTCGCTGTCCTTGTCTACGTTCGGCAAACTACAAAGGCGGGCGCGAGGCTCGAAAACGTAGTCCCTGACTCTACAAGTGTCAGGTTTAGATTCCTTGCGGACTGACACTTGTGGAGAATTTACTGTATTGAGAAAAAGGACATTTCATGTGCACCAACTTAAATTATTGTGTCTATAACACGATTTGATAAAATTAGACATTTTAATGGACGTGTTAATTTCACAAAATTATTAATTCTAATAGAATGTCGATTTTGTGTGTAGTATGTACCCGGAGATACTAAAATAGTTTCTCACCTTACGGGGTGAAAAGAAGATTTGTAAGGTAATTCAGGCGAAATGGAGAACGATTAGTTTTTGGCTAAATTAGCGTAATTAATTACACAGTGTTACTTACGGTAAGGAGCATTGTAATCATCGCGTCCCATGGCCTTGATTGAGCGGCCAATTACGGTAACATTGCCGCTGCTGCAAGTCGAGTAGAGACTTACGGAGCGCACCATTGCCGGCACCGCCCCGCACATCACCACCTGCAATCAACAGATCGTTTTACATTAGTAAAAGTTTCGCTAAATTCTAAATCGTAATCGACAGGTTACCAGAATTCGTGTCTCATTTAATGCAGTTTGCAAAAGTGTCACATCTTTAACCCAGCAGAAGAACGAACAAATTTATTAATCAATTCTGTGAAAGTTTAATTTATAAATCGTTTCGTATTCAGAAATTAAATTCGAAATTTATTCCACATGTAGCAGGTACCTAAATACGAGAGTGTTGTAAAAATTCACAAAGGTGAGAAATGATCCAATACCTGGCGATGAAGGACTTTGAATGATTTTTGCATGGACATTGAATAATTTTTACAGGAGCCTCAAATGATTTTTGCATGGAATGATTATTACCAAGTATCAGATAATTTCTCAGTTTTCCACTATTGTCCACATCTATTTCATCGTTGCACATCTCTTTACTTCACTAGTTATTAAAGAGAAAAAAAGACGATAGTGCCACGAAACTTTGTACATTAGAACACAGATAATTACATATTATACAATAAAAAATTACAAGCACTCAGCAGTAGTCTTCATACTTAGGCCGCGAATATTTTCAATCCACCCTCGTATTTGTATCGATATGAAGCTAATTCTGTTTTTTAAATTCACTTTTAGAAAGTTGCCAATGGATCGTAATTTTATAAGGTTTCCAACAACATCATTAATTGTCCAAAAGTATTATTTCTATTCAAAACTTGATACACCATCTAAAGTAACACCTTTCGTCAGTCCCTTGACTTTTTCGCCAACTCGACACAATTTTAGAAGATCCATCATCCATGTTTCGAACCGGTAATACTCGTTTATATTTCGATACCAAAGGCTTATTTACTCGTGGAATTTAAATAAATAAATAAATTTGACATAGTTACGCGGCATCAAAATCAACAGTTCCTCAAGTTGCCGTTCGTTATTGAAAAACTGACCGCTCTCGTTCGTTACTTCAGGAAGAAAAAACTAAAATTAGAATAGACAATGCGTTTCAACTATTTCGAATAAAAGGGAATAAAAAAAAAAAAAAACAAGCCAAAGAAGAATTTCAGCCGCGTGTTTCCAGTTTGACGACCGAACGATTTTGCGTTAAAGACGTCGCAACTCCTTCACGATCTCAGGCAAGAACATTTTTACGACCAATTCGCATATCACGGCATCGAATAATTCGTCGAGTCGTTCGCGCAGATCCTTTTCCTGCGGTTCATTCGCGCTGGCAAAGGTATTGGAGTAAAAGTGCACGGTATTGGAGGCAAAGGACAGGTCGTTACAGCGAACACCACAAAAGATGAATACTGACGGCAAGATTTGTTAACGAGCGAACACGAGCTGTCCATTAATGGTCGTAGAATTTGACACTTCTTTTATTTCAGGAATGACATCGTAACAGTGTTATGATGGCAAACCCTGCCGGACCAAGTAAGTGCTTCGATACCTTGCGGAGTTAAGTATAATACTATAAAATATTTTTTTACTCCTCTTTCAGATAAAAAGATAACGTTCGGCTAATTATGCAAAACTTTATACATTTAACCGTAAATTCTCGCAATATCTCAGTTTAAATATCAAATTTCCCCGAATAACTTTCATAACAACAGCTTTGTATAGTTATCCCTCGAGCGTAACTCATCTCTTTATTATCATTCCCTTCGGGATTTTATATTCGTCTCGTTTCACCTTTCTTCTCATTTTACACTGCAAATATGAGTGCTTTCTGCGAGCAAAATTAAACAAGTCAGAAAACGGCGGAGTACTTTTATATTTCCTTGTTTCGGTGAACAGGGCTAAGACTACTTTAGTTCAATTGTTATCAACGCTTTAGTTTCTCTTGAAAATTTATTTGAAATAATTTAGCTTTTATATTGCATCTAAACCTGACGGTAAAAAAAAACAAGCTTATACTGCTTCAATTTCTCTTGGAAACTGACCACGGTTGAAAGTGTGGATAAGCCTGACCACTATGAACCCGCTACTTTCGTATTCTCTAAATGCTAAACATACGGCTGTGGTTAAAAGTTTTTCTAACAACGAGGTTGCTGCACGCAACACACTTCCATGTAGCCGCACTGCAGTGTTGCATATGCACTGATAAACAGCGCTTGATTTTCTAATTAATTCCACGTCACCGTTATGGTAGATTAGCGTCGTACGATCTGCAGAAAAAATTCGACGAAAGGCACACGGGGGAATGATTTCAAACGTGGAACAATTGTTTTTTATAATTTTGGACGTCGTTCTTGAGATATTTATTAAACGGTTAGTCGATGTTGCAGTTTCTTCCGGTTCTGTTTGTTGTGATTTATTCGCGAACGACGATTAAATGCACGTATGCCGATTAGTTTAATCGTTTGTAGTTAATTAGTAAGGCGTTTGTTTCTTGATTATTACGTGAAACTTGAAATTAGTGTATCTACGCGGATGTGATTTGTAATCCATCGATCTATTCCGTTACCGAAAAATTACAATATACAACACATGTAGTGTAATAATTACTAATAAAACTTTGAACGAAACTGTATAAGCCAACCTAATTTCTTGAAATTAACAAAAAATAATCAGCTAAATTTAAGTAAAACAGCGAAGAAAAAGTTTACTGCAAAGCTTGGAATTATACGAACGTAGAAACGAACCATTAAAACGAGAACAAATGTAGATACCATCGTTTCGTGTAAAACGAATGAGACCTACATCACGAAGTAAACACTGATATGCTATAAATACCAGATAAAAGTATGTACGTGTGAAATTCTGTAATTTAATAAACTTAATTTTTCACGTGTGACGAAAAAATGGACGGTTTAGGGCGAAAAAGCTCAATTTAGTAGGAAGAATTGTCAATAACATATGTTAACACTCGGACGATGGTGTTTCTGCTTATTTCTGCAAGTCATGATATGGATAATAATGGCCAGTAATAAGAATAGAACGTGAAATAAAAAAGTATATATAACGTTCGGTTTTAAGTATCGAAGAGTTAAGTTCCACGCTCACAGTTGGGTCCGAACGGACCCAGGCGTCGCCATCGGAGTGCTAAGCTAATGAAGGAAGTAGTGTCCGGATATATGACCGTACGAGTCACTCGGAAACTAAAAACCTCTACTTTTCGAAATTCTTCCAATTTTAGTATCAAAGCACATACTTGGCGCTTACCTCTTCATAAATAAAAAAATTTAATAATTTGATACAGTTCGTCATTTCGACTTCTGAGTGGTTTACATATCCGGAGAGACTTAACTCTTCATAAATCAAAAAGATTTAATAAATCCAATTCGACGAAGTTAGTCACTTTGCCTTCCGAGTGGCTCACACATCCGGAGAGGTGAATTTTCAAGAACTGACCGACGTTACCTATCTTCGGCTCACTATACCGCGCGTGAATCAAAGGTAAGAGCGAGTGTTAAGTGCTTAAAATTAATACAAAAGTAAAATACAAATACAGTCATGTTTGGTACCATTTTAATCGTACAAATCTCAATAATTCGACTAAGACCATCTCGTAAAGATACAATAAAAAATTATATTTTCCTTATTCCGGTAAATCCACATCAGTTGAATCACCGAGGCCTACCTCGAGCCAGTAGTTCGACAAATTAATGGGAATAACTCGTGATCGTATAAACAGACAAATTTCTGACCATATACAGCGACACTGCTGCATCAATTGGTAATTTATAAAGTGGTAAAACAGTGACAGACGTAATCGGTGATTTACAAAGCCCTAGATTGACTTGCAACACACGATCCTACGAAAGCTCAGCCTCTTCGTGCAAAGAGTATCTACGATCTGACCTAGTCACCGTTCCTGTACAAAGACCTGGCACGTATCCGCTTACATATCTATGAAATAAGCATGCAGGTTTACGGATTCCACATGAATGTGGCCAAATCACTAGCTCAAATTTTACACGGCTCGTTACAGACAATGTATCTAGGACAGCAGTATTTTCGTTAAACTATGAACATAACACGAAAACACCCGAACCGGGAATACTTTTTTGAAACGTGGTCGTGGGAAACTGGAACGGTCGTATCTCCCCGTTCTGAATATGTAGATAATACAGGGATACATTCAGAGGTTATATTTCCATTGTGAGATTTTTTACCCCGGAGATACTGGTAACTACAGTAACGATGCTGTATTTCAAAACGATTTTTTTGCGTAACGCTTTCTAGCACAGAGATACCTAACCGAAGTATAATTTCACGTTGTGCAGAATTTGTATCCCGAAGATATTGATAACTACAGTAACGGTGCTATATCTTACGGAGGATTTTAAACGTAACTTGCTGAACAGAACTGTACGAATGTATGTAAGGCACAATTTCGCGTTCATTTACATTCGGATGTTGTAAATAAAAGAGGCGTGCGTGAATAAATTACACGTCGTGATAAGTTAATTACCGTTCGAAGAATGTTTTATACCCCTTTTTGAGATGTAGCAAAGAATTCACTTTTGTGCAAAGCGAAGTATAGACGTTAGACATTAGTTCTGTTGTTTGAATATTAATTTATTTATTATTTAATTTAACAGCGTCGCTAACTGGTTCAAGTAGCCCTTTAAACCCAGTTTTATTTGGACCTTTATGTATTTCTAGATAACCAAGAATCTTACGTTTAACCCTTTCGCGACTAGCGCCGGTTATATCCGGCATCTACTAAATGCTTCACACTGGCTAGCGCCGGTTATATCCGGCATCCACTAAGCGCGTCGCATTGGCTCGCGCTCAACAACACAAAGTGAAGATTTATTTTAAAATACAGAACAAGGCCTCAACGACATTCCCTTTGTCCGATACACCCTTAAGTCCTCTGCTGTTCCAACGAAATCCTCTAAGATTTGAAAAAACGCGAGACACTTTTAATGTGTAAGGTGTGCACTAATGGCACGACGACTCGTTCGTTAGTGGCGTACCGATGGCCAGTTCCGCCGTCGCGAAAGGGTTAAGTAATGTTAAAAGTGCAACTCTTACTAAAATTACAATAATCAATAGAATTAAATCTAAAGTTACAAAAATTATTACATTATCTAATTAAATTCTGAATTCAATGCACTAATCTGCCAATATAA